TTAATGTCTAAAGAACATTTTGCACCCTTTACACGGACTATCCGTTGAAATTATACTTGAGGTTTTTAAAGTTAGAAAAATGTGTGGTCTTTGCGCCTGGGTTGAGCGGGATTCCCGAAGTACTTGCAGCTGTCCGCGGGACTCTCGGCAGCATCAAAAACATAACCTCTATTGTTTATGGATTAAGTCATTTTTCATTTCTCGCCTAAGCTATTTATCATTTAGTAAAGATGAAAAGGTAAATTATACACCGTGAAAAGATGAAAAAAATTTTACTTTTAGTAAGTTTGCTCGGATGCATTCGCCAATCAGAACTTGAGGAATTCTATTATCATTCAAATTTATGCCCACCCATTGAAATGTACGTGAGAATCTGAACTGTAAGTGCATGTCCCGAAAACAATAGGCATTCTGTGCCATGGAGAACTAAATCCGAGAAAGTAACTTCACGTATTGTTTGTTAGCAAATGACGTAAGACGATTGATAATCGTTTAACTACCGATCTGCTAACATCTCAGTGAGTGAGCGAGTGACATTGTTTCGGGCCGCCATTGTCAAACTGGCAGTGACTGAGCAGAAATTAATTTCTACGCATGTTGTTTTTACGTTAGTCGATGAAATTCAAGGCTCAGTGCAGAATTAGGAATTAATCGGGTTGGTATAAACCAGAAAGTTGAAGATGGTGCCAAAAGATATTTATTTTGTTCGTCTACTCAAATTTGTAATTTAGCTACTCAAAGCAGTATTAATAGGTCTAACTTTAACTAGGAAAATACGGCCTCAAATCTTCCGGTGAGTGAACAAATCCATTTAAAAAGTAAAGTTGGTAGACTTTCGTCGACTCTTAAGTCATTTTATTGGGTTTGAAATCGTTCCAGTTTTATTTTCTGCGAATCTCACATGCTCTTGTTCAATCAAGAGWGCATAAATAAGAGAGGGAAACTTCTTAATATTGCGTGCGCCATGTAAATTCCAGGTTGGGCTATTTTTTAGTAACCGGATGCAGTTTAAATTTAATTTGTTTGGCATAAAAATTGGGGGAAATTGCCGTCAAAAGGAAATTTTTCAAACAATCGCTAAAGACAGATGCATAATGAGTACGGCGCGCAAAGCATGCTAGTGAAACATCCTTTGACCTAACGGTTGCTTGACGGCCAATGAGCGTGCTGTGCCTTAGACCTAACGGTTCCAGTTGCTTGGCGTAATTTTGTTACTAATCTCTATTGTCCAAAATATTTCCAGGTTTTTCCTGTGCATTTTTTTTTTAGCGTGTAATTCACCAATTTCTATACATCGGTCAAACAGAAAGCACTCAAGCGAGGCTTCAAGGTAGTTTCAAAGGATTATTCAAATTTCAACCTTGCAGCCTCGACTGAATAAGCCGGGGCTTAAACCCGTACCACAGCGGTGAGCCGGCGAGTGGTAAACCACTACGCTAACCATACCACACCTTAATTAGTCTTACTAATTGATATTTTGACCACTGACCATTGTTCAACTGACAGGCAAAAACAATGCTGGAAAAAGCAATCAACCTCGATCCATCTTCAAATGATGCTGTGTGCCTGCTGGCAGAGGTGCATGGAAAGAAGCAGGAATACAGCAAAGCTATAGATTTGTAAGTAAGACTGGAATCCTTTCTAAAGAGCGATTTAAAATATCTTTAAAATGTAACAATGTCAATGAAAATGAAAATGAAAACTTTAAACTAAAGAGGTCAAACTTGTACAAGATAAAGTGCAGTATTACCGCAGTAGCAGTGTCGGAGATTTGGAAAACTTTTCAAAACAATTTTGACTAGGGATGGTGCTTCTTCAGTTTACCGCGGTTTCTGTAAAGCAATGATATGTGTAAATAAATATGTAAATGTGTTTTTTGAAACCAAGTACTATCCGAAAAATTCCTCCAGGGAAGATAAAGGCGGGATATGTGTAGATGATCTGATGTTCCCATAATTTTAATTTACCGTGTGTCGTGTTTGATGCTGTGAATAAAATTAGCAAAAATAAATAAAGTAGTAACCAAGTCACTGACTTGAGTAACGTCCCCTCATCCATCAACGCCAGTAGGCCTTTTTTTCCTCTCTCGAGACAAAAAGAGATTTTGAGTGAATTTTGATTGTATTCCGCTCATGCTGAATTATTTCTTTTCATGCAGATTAAGAAAACATCTTATAAACCACCGAACTGCTCGTCTACACCAGTTATTAGGAGATTATCTGGTCATGACTAATGAATACCAGGAAGCACTTGATCAATACACCAAGTCACTAAGGTACAGTAGTATGTCATGATATACAAGCATGGTCAGACCAGTTATTAGAAGATTATTTGGCCATGAATGATAAATACCAGGAATTACTTGATCAATACACCAAGTCACTAAGTCACTATCATGGTTTATAACCCAACGATACATTTTTGCGCGCTTTCATTAGTACAAATGGATCACGTGGTACATCTTCACGGGACGTGTATTTAGCAATTAATCTTCAAGCCTGAATGGGCTATTGGCTCATAGGCCATGAGGGCGAGAGAGGACTAATGGTTTTATTCAAATCCAACTAGTCGGTCAAATATCTAGATGCAAACATGCAAGTTATGTATTAAAGTTAAATTTAATGTTTTGGTTTTCAAAGTCGGCACTTATTGCTACTAGTAAGATATTACTTATATAGCCTGGTAGTAGCTCATCCAATCAGAACACAGCATTGATAACAATTATTATCCGAAGGCGAAGGGATATCCGTTTAATAAAAAATACGAAAATACAAAGAAGACAATAGAAATAATACAGATTAAAATTTGACGGGTTTTCTTTGTTATTCGTAGAGCTTTGTATCCCATATTTCCCTGCTCATTACGAATAGACCTAATTCGTTGCGTTTCCCTTGAAAATAAGATTATTTGATTGTTTTGTATCCATATTCATGTGTCTTCTCATGTGAAACCAAGTGCAACCGTTAAACAAAGAAATCACACCCTTGGGAATGACACGTGGTCTAAAATGGGAAAACATTGGAACGCAACGAATTAGGTCTATTGAAGGGCTTTATCTAGATAAAGCCCGCTATCCCTGGGATGTTTCTCAATATTACGCTTGACATGAGTAGAGCGAAGGCATTTAACCCGTGAAATAAAAAATGTCAGTCAAGGTGTAATAGTCAGATAGACACACACAAAAACAATGGAATTAGGGCCTAAGCATTTTGACATTTTGAATTTAAAGTATTTATTTATTTTTATTAAAAATTACGTCTTTCCTCTGAAAAAGGAAAATATGTCGTTTTGGAGCACATTTCATTGGTTACTACATTTTGACGAGTAAAGCTTTCTTTCGTTTTATGCTGCGAAGTATTACAATGCATGACCTTATTTCGCTAAACTAGAAGCTTTTTGCTTGACCCGTGATGGCGTTAAAAAAGTCAAATAATGATTTTAAACATTTTTAATAGTGTAACAAGAATGAACAAATCTATTGCAAAAAAACTAAGCTTACTTTACAAACTTCAGTTTTACGTCAGTTTTACGCTCAGTTACGGTAAATTTTTTACCGTAATTTGTTTTCCAATAGCCCGAAACTAGGAGTACAAAATGCTACCATAAGTGGCACAAAGTTATCAGTTATAGTTCGGGGTCCAACTCAAACACCAGTTTCGCAAGTACTGCACTGCTAGCTTTCTTCCAGCTTCGAAGATGAAGAGATTTTTCCGAGTCTCTCGGCTCCTTGTGCATTCATAAACTGGTTTTCGAAATGTCCAGTTTATAATAACGATCTGAACTTTGAAAACGTTTTTCAAACTCTTCACTATTTGAGTTTTCATTTCTTCTAGCAATTACAATTCTTGTTCTCTTTGGCTTTTTTGCTAAAACTTAAGCAATTCTCCTTTCTTGTTTAATAAATGCCATAAACAAGCTGTATGCCCGCCTGTACAGACCTGTCATTAGTAATATGAAAGTACCAGTTCTGCATCACGGGYCCCGTCGGGCTACCCCGGGCCCGTAGGGGGAGGGGGTGTTCTACATCTCTGGAACCGCTCCGGAGCAAAGGGGGGCTACTTTTTTACCTCCTGCGGATTCGGCCGCATGACGTCATGATTTATTTTTATCATAGTTCGTCTGTATTATATATATACGAAGTATGTGGACCGCGTGGCACTAATGAAATAGTAGAAGATAATATAGGTAAGTTGTAGTGCTTGGRAACGAGGTTATTCCGGGCGAAAGCCCWTGGAATTAAATTCGGAAAAATTAATTTCCGACCTCGCTGGGACCTCCCAAGCACTAYAACTTACCTATATTATCTTCTACTATATACGAAGTAGTTCACTATCGACAAGATGAAAAATAATTCCCTCATAATGTTTAATTTGCGTGACAGTTCGATTTGTTATTCCTAATTTATGCTATGTCTTCAGATTTTTTTTTGTTTTTGTTTTTGTTTTTGTTCTCATTATCTTCTCATCTGCGTGATTGCCAGTTGGATTTGCCTCAGTGCAACTGTCGTTGTGATATGCAAATTATGACTCAACTACACGCATCAAGTATGTCGATCAATTACCATAATACTATCATAGATTGGATGTTTATTTTCTATCAAAAATATGTTTGTCTCACGAGTCGGAATCTAGAAGTCAATATTTCTTAATATATATATTTTTAGAAATATAGAAAACTTTGAACCACATTTCCCTAAAACCACAGAAATGTTCTGCAGTGCTTTTATTCAAAAAGTTTAGCTCCATGTTTATACACAAAAATATTAAATTACGTGATCCAGCTATTAACACTATGTAGCTAGAATCTTGTACAAAACTCGCGACAAATCTTAAAAAAGCGATTTTGAATTAATATGAAGCAGTTGGATTACTCTAGGCTATCGATATTGCATTTCTTTTACTGGTCCACGACTGTGGTTAGGGCTTCATTAGACATATTCTCCTCGGCAATGGCTCGGACTGAGGGTTCGTCTTCGCGTAGTTTTACCCACTTCATACTACCTGTAGATCGGTGCATTATCTTTACAGGCCAACAATTTTCTCCATCAATGTAGACACCAGGATGGTTAGGATCGGCTCTGTTACGCGATGTTCTATACATTTCTATAATATCGTATTCTTCTGGAATGTTTCGCAATGCTGGTGCTCCCGAGATGTAGTTTTGCCACACGGGGATAGCTGCATTCGACCAGATTATTGAACGATGTGCGAGCTTAGGTTGTTTTCTTTCTGGTTTTGTTTCGGTGCCAAACACTGGTGCTGACTCGACACTACTGCTCACCTTAGTATTTGTGGAGAAGAGATAAACTTGACAGCTTCCAAATATGTCTCCAAGAACTTGCTTATCGGCTGGTGTATCGGGTTTGTTATCCACCAATAAGTATCCAAATGGCCTTTCGGTCTCCCTGTGGTATGCGGACATAAATTGGTCTCTATTCTTATCAAACATTCGCTCTCCGACGATTCCAATTTGTTTTCTGTCACTAGGACTTCGAAAGAGGGCCAGATATTGAGCATTTCGACTTATATCTGTATTAAATTTTCCCTTAGGAAACATGTTTTGAAGCAAGAGGATAATGCTAGCGTTTCTATGACGACCCTGGGTAAATAATCGAGCTACTACAGGACTGTCTGTCGCTTCGGCCATCAGATCGTCCAGTATGATTATGTTGTTATATTTGGGATTAATCTCACTCAGATCCTCGGACAGCTCGGGTAAACCTCTTTCCAATTGAATTCTTTTTCCAAGGGATTTTTTCAAAACGTCGTAACGATCTTGCCATTGATTATTGCACCAAAGAACACGGATATTTTTCTGCTCTTCAAACACGATAGGATTCTTTTGTAAAATCTGTTGGACGAAATAGGTCTTACCACACTGAGTGGGACCCACGACCAAGAGAAAAAATTTATGGCGGAAGTTGAATTCTGGACAGAGTGCAGTAGTCAAAGACAGCGATACTTTTGCAGTTTTTTTTATTTGAGTACAGAGCTTGTTCTCTTTCGAATGCATCTGTTTTCTTTTAGGCTACGTGCTGGCCGTGCCGGTAGTAAGCTCGAGATGTGGTTTTGTGGTGCTGAGAACCTTGCAGTTCCTAACCACTTTTTCCTTTCATCCCCATATAGGTTATGTACTTGACGTAAATGATTACTCATAAACTGTAGATCAGGATTGTTACAGACAGGACAGTCTCTCTTGTACTTGTAGGAGGAGCATATAGTATTTCAGTCACTTAAGTTTCTTTTTTTCTCGATATGGGGTAGATCATATGAGGTGGATTGGGGTGGATGTAGGGTGGATGTAGGGTGGATGTGGGGTGGATGTAGGGTGGATGTGGGGTGGATGTAGGGTGGATGTGGGGTACATGGATATATTTGAATAAAAGCACTGCAGAACATTTCTGTGGCT